GCGGTCCGCTCTCCTCGCCAGCCGGGGAGGTGACGGCAGCTCTCGCGCGGCCGCTGAAGGTCACACGTGCAGCGGGGCTGCCCGAGCCAAGCCGGTGCTCACGGAGCTCCTCCGTACCCACACGGTACCTGTGGTTGAGCGCGGGGCTACCTCAAGGTTGTGTGTCCCGGTCCGACGCACCGCAGAGGTCCTGCTGCCCACGGCGCAGCCGCTCCCCGAGTCTTTCCAGCGCCAAAGCATCCTCTGAGCTGCCACACCAGGATCCTCCACCCAACGGGCATCGGCAGCGAAAGCAGCGGGTTGGCTGCTCCCCTGGCAGTCAGGTTTCATCTGGGACCAGCACAAAACCTTCAGCTCCCAAGGCTCGATCCAGTCTCGAGGTCGAGACAGATGCCAAAGCTGAGACTTGGCCTTATCCTCTGTGCATCCTCCGCTCCCAGCTGCACAGCCGCATCCCTCCGGCCCCTTCCATGAGTCAACTCGACCCGTTCATTTAGGGACCAAGTTTAGGATAACAGGCTAAAATGGCTCCGAGAAAGGCCTGGAGGCAGCCACCCGCAGATACCCACCCACGGCGCCTGCTGCAGCAATGCCACAGTCCTGTCCGGCCACCAAGAGCATCGCAACAGGTACCGCGGCAGAACAGCCTTCCTCCGCCTCCGTCTGTGCTGCTCTCTCTGCCAGGAAACTAGGGGCTCCTGGCCACACTCCAAAGGCGCCTCTGCCATGGGGCAACTCTTTGGTAGACTCGTGCTTTCATCAGAGCCACTGGCACCAAGACACGAAACCTGTTCAGCTCCGTTAAACTTTCCAGTGCTGCTTAAGTGCCTAACAGGTAAGAAACTCCGTTCCTCAAAGCGCCTCTGGCACCTAAGAACTTCTCAGCAGTTCACCAGGCCATCAGGGTTCCTGCTGCGGACTATAAGCCAAACCACCCTGCAATCGAGGATGACCATGCAGTAAGTTTAGGAAGCCCAGAAAACATTTATTCGTGACTTCTACACCCCATAGACAACAGCCATTGCTCACCAGGGTTCCCACAAAGCTAAGTCTTGGAGGAAAGGCCAAAAGCCACAACTAACGTGCCAGAGAGAGAAGAAGGGGATACAAACAGCACTGAGGACCTACGACAGCAATCTCCTTCAGTAAGACTCCAAATAAATAAAGATCAGAGGCCTAATAGGGTTTCAAGCAGGAAAAAAAAAAAAAAACACACACACACACACAAACCCAAAATCAATCCTTGCAATCCTGCAGATAAGCAAGAAAACTGTCCAGAAACGGGTCATCCAATACAAAAAAAATGCGGGTTTCCCTTCGGTTCTCCTGTGAGTGTGCAGAGGGCTGGAAGGCGAGGTGGCTGAGGCGCCCTCCTTGCGCCAACGCGACCGCCAGCAACGGGAGCGCGCGCCGGGCACATCAACGAGCTGCTTAGAGGTTTGCAAGAGCTGAGCTGTGAAGAGATTAGCAGGGAAAGAAGGAAAAAAAAAAAAAGGGATCTGCAGGCAGCTTACCGCCCAGAAAGCGCTCAGGGTCAGCCGGAGCGTCTGAGCGCGAGGTGGAGGAGCCAGCACTGCCCTCTCTGTGGAGCCGGCGCTTTGAACGTACATGAAGCGGCTCTCAGATGTCCCCAGCAGCTGCCCCAGCGAGGCTGCGGGCGGGATAATTGCTGGCCAACGCTCTCTGCGTTGGGCTCACGGCCCTCGGCACCCATCACCAGCTTGTCAAGCCTGGGGACAGAAACATCCCCGCTCAGCAGCCGCCGAGCGAAGACGCCAGCTCAGGGCCGGCAGCGACACTAACCCGTCTCCTCAGCCGGCCGTGCACAGGGCTACGATCTCCCCTGCTCATAATCAGTTAACTCGGTTTTCCCCCGTGGCGCGCGTCAAGCCTGCATCTTGGCGTGGCCTGGAGGCCTGAGGTGGAGCCGGTCACCTCAGGTGCCCCAGACACTGCTGGCAGCGACGCTGGGTTGGGTACCCTTGGTCGGTACTGATGCCCGACCTCCAGGGTGGAAAAAAACACGTGGATATTGGGTGTTCTGCGTCCAAAGCGCTCACGGTGGCCTGTGTGCCACATTCCCTGCGGAGGGACTGGATACCCCACGCCCGCCCTCAGGCCTCAAAACTCAGCGGGACCCTTCAGCCCTGTCCACCAAGCGACCTGTCATGCTCCGGGGCGAAGGGGAAGAGCAAACGCTGCGGGAGGGACGGAGGTCTAAGAATACCAGGGAGAAACAAGCCCAGCAATTTCCCCTCTCTCTGCTCCCGGAGGTCCCCGGAGGAGGTGGTCGTTGCCATCTGCTTGATGGCCCTATCCCCTCGGCACGACCGCCCGTGCCTGGACTGGCTTGAGCTTGGCGATCCGGGCACGGGTGCTTGTGCCGAGGGGATAGAGCCATCCCGTAAGGTTAACGATGGAAACGCTTGACTCATTTTCCTGGAGTTCCCGACACGGGAAACGCGGAGGCCTCCGCCAGGCCGCGCGGGGCCAGGCCACCAGCCTGAGCCCTGGCCCTCGATTCCCCGCGGCTCTCCGGAAGCTTCTAAAGAAAAGAGGCGGCGCTGGAAAGAATAAAAGCAAGCGGAGCCCGTGTGTTGGCAAGAAAGCTGGGTTATTCCTCACGTAAAACGCGCTCGGGTTGGGGGGAAAAAGAAAAAACAAATCTTGGAAGGGATGGGGTCCCTCTGAACGAGCAGGGCTGCTGCAACCGGCAATAAATCAGCCTTCCCCAGCAGGCAGGAACATATGCCGGGCTCTGCCACGACGGATGAGGATCCACGCGCATCCACGATGGCTCCAGGACGAGGAGATGTGAGGGCAAGCGCTGGCCCCGCGCTCTCGCGTTTGGCCTCGGCGCCGCTTCCGTCACCCAGTTTTCGCCGTGATTTGTGGCAAAGGCGGATCCACTCTTCTTTCATGCCTCATAAGCTTCATAGCTGTCAGACTAACATAACAGGTAATTAACTACTAAACAGCCATTTTCTCCTCCTCTCCTGAGGGAAATTGCTCACCATCCAGCTAGAAAACGTTTCTTTAGCGGTTTTGCAAAAACTGAAGAGCAAGTTGGTAGTTTCTGGCAAGCAACCTGTCTGCTGCGGCCAAGCAGGGGCGTTCACAGAGGCGCTTGCAACCCGGATGCCAGTGCCTGGGCACACAGGGTTCAGGAGAACTGGAATCCCCAAAAGGGACGTGGATGAGGCTGCTCCAGCTCCCTGGCTTTTTCACCACTGTCGTGGCACAAAAATGGTAACGGAGAAGGAGCGAGCGACAAGATGAAGGCCATGGCTCATGACAGGGCCTTGGGGAAGACATCGACACTTTGCTTTGCTCGCTCTCGCAATTACCCTCCTTGTGTGAGGTAACTTCAATAACAGAGAACCTTGGTGCCCAAAAGTTGTCCTTCCCGCTCACTTTTCCAAGGACAGTCACACCAAAATGTAGTTTCCCTCTCTTTCACCCCATCAGCAGTCATCTCGACCATCTCCTTATTTAGGGGTCCACTTTGGGGGATTATCCAACCACTCTTCCCAAACCAGCCTCCGCATGAAGAGCTCTAGGGCACCTTTGCACCAACTGTGCAGCAAAGATGAAACCCAAGTGGCAAGAAAAGGCTTCACCTGAGCCAGGAGATCCAGCTCCTGGCACCAAGGTACGGAGCCTCGACCTGACTTCGGCTCCCACTTACCTAAAGCACTTGCAGAGCACAAAGTGATTTAATTACCCTCACAACACGGGCTTGCATCACGCTCCAAGTAGGTTTTCAGCCATCATCTTCTAAAGACCTAGTCCCTAAGTCTCTGCACAGGCCAAACTGGCTTTTGGAGATATTTTTTCCTACATAGAAATCCCTAAGTAGATCCAACTTTCTAGAAATGCCAACTTTCCTACCCTGAGGCAGACACATCTATTACTGCAGTCTTGCAAACGGGCACCCAAGGAATCCGGCGCGTCAGTCACAGAAGCCGCATCGAGAGCGGCGGAGCCACGTCGGGAAGGCCGGGTTGGAGAACGGGAGCTCAACGCCCTTCAATCCAAATCAACAGACGAGGTGAAAGGGGGAAAACAAAAAAAAGCAGATTCATCAAAAAGGAAAAAAAAAAAAAAGAACAAAACAAAACAAAAA